TGTTGTGGGGAGGGGCTGGTACGTTGCTGCTGTGGGGAGGGGGAGGTCCGTTGCTGCTGTGGTGGGGTTGCAGTGGGCTGGCAAAAAAAAAGTCACAAAAATAAAACTGATACAGAAAACAGTTTCTAATTCAGCCTATGACAGTATTTGTTCTATGTAGTATGTTACAAGTCAGCACTTAAAACTCAGTTGTGATCTTAATTCATTGAGTGAGCTGTCAGACCTTTGGTCCCTCAGTAGTCACAGCCTCTGGGGGAAATGAAGTGTAACATCTGGATGTTAAACTTGAGAAGAAACAAACAAGTGTTCAGGCCAGTGTCCGTCTTTCTATTATTTGACAGAATTTTGCCACTCATTACAGACAAAACTTTTGCCCTATGTGTCATCTTTGACAGACAAAAATCGGTATGTAAAGAATCTAGAGATATGAAAGGAGATGTCATGAAACTAAGCTTAGTCTAACAGCAAAATTTACTCCTCAAAATGTAGGAATTTACGATTAGCATGCCCCCAGCACCCCTGGGATTGGCGCGCCTTACGTCAAACAAAATTGAGAAGACGGAAAAACAATTCAGGGTGGCTACCCGGTAGTACACTGGAAGACTGGATCCAGGGTTTTTTCTAAACAGGGGAATAAGTGCGATGCTCCCTCGTGTAACCAGCCAGCTCCCTAATATCAATTCTCTGATTGAACCCTAAGTGGCTACTTTCACACCATTTAGTCTTTCTCAAAATAATCTTTTTCCATTAAAAATGCACAAACAATACAGCAATGCATTCTAGCATTACAAACTGTGTTACTCTTATTTAAAAAAATCCCCTCTCGGTTGCTTCGTTCCTTGCCATGCTTGCCATCTGCTCCCTCATGCTAAAATTTTCTAGAGAAACACGTGCTGGAACCACAACTCACCATGTGCATGCCTGACAAGGCCATCAGGTGGTCCATCTTCTCCTTCACGTCGTCCCCGGCAGAGACGTCGAAGTTCTCAAACCCAGAGAGGATGTCCTCACTCCAGAAAAAAACAGGAACACTTATATATAAGAATACTCAACAATGAATACTAGTATCTCACGCCGGAGGGATTTTCACAACTGTATTCTATGGTTCTACAGTGACAAGCTTGTAGACGGGCTAAGGCTAACATCTGTCTTCTACTACTGGTTCGTCTTCTATTACTGGTGGGTGACCTTGGTGTCACCTTGGTATGCGTGGGTGGAGCAGTCCTAAAACATTTACTTGGTTCACATCACTACAAACTGGCTCATCTTCAAACACACAGAGGAGACATACAAAAAATTCTGCCTAACTTTTTGTAAGTAATTTTGTTGTTAATCATGTGGTTGATATACCCCAGTAACAAAATGACGTTTATTGTATTATCATTATCATATGTCAAATGTTGATAAGACAAGTTTTCTTGAAAGTAGCTAAAAGTGTATGTAACTAATAGTTAATGATATAACACTGTATTTTATGCAAAGGACTCCAGGAAGAATAGTGATGTTCCAATACATGTATTGTCACTAATGGGAGCTTCCTAAATAAATAAACAAACAAGCAAGGAGAAATATGAAGACATTACACCTCCACAAACAATTAAGAGTTGCCGTGAATGTCTTGCAGATTCTGACTCTGTGCACATTCCACTGTTGCACATCCCCTCCTCTCTTTCCTACAAGTTGCTACATCATGTAACCCAACACCACAAGGTGTCTGGTACAGCACCAGTTATCATGGTGACAGACATCTAATCCAGGTCATTTATGGTTTGGAGGGAAAGAAGAAACACAGCAAAAACAATACATTTTTGTTCTGCAAGGGTAAACACAAACACACTACAACTAGACAATGATGAGAGATCAAGAGTGTGTGGGTCTCAGATTTGCAACCCGATATCCATCTTAAACAAATCCAAGTGAAGGCCACCTTGTCAACCCTCCTCCCTCAGGCCACATCAATTTAATTTCTTGGTTAAAAGATTTGCCCGCTTCATTTTTTTTCTGATTTGCAAAAACAAACAAAAATTCAGAATCAACTGCAAAATGCTCATATTTTGCCCTGAACAGTTGAAAATAGTCCTTTTCTTCCTAGTTGTTACAGTTATTCCATCTTTCAATGCAGTGGTATCATTAAAAGTTCAAAATTGATTGTTTAAATTTTGAACTAGCCTCGTGTGTTGACTTCATGGCTCCTTTTGGGCCATAATAGGATGCCTAGGCCTGTTTTTATTTTTATTTTTCGACCGCCTGCTCCATTATTTTTCTACAAAAATCTGTTAACCAAGAAATTTAAATTGGTGTGGCCTGAGGTGTAGGAACTGACACGGTCTCCATTGTCTCTCCAGACAGAAGGATGCCAGCACAGAGATCGTGGAAGAGCAACACTACAGCGCCCCCTACCTTTGTTCCACAGGCCTGCAGTGGTTCTTGTGCTCAGGCCAGTGTTTCCTCTGGCACTCCTTCCCGCAGTACGGCTTCTTACACCGGCCACACCTGGACTTCCCCTGCTGCCCACACAGGAGGCAGGGCAGGGCCGGACGCTCGGGGGAGGTCGCACGGTCGCGAGGCTTCTCAGGAGAACTAAGATGCTGGAAAACAGAAGAGAAATAGAAATCCTTTGGTCAATCAAGATGCTTATCTTTAAAATCGTAACTGACACACTACAAGCATGGACAGCCTTGATGTAAATTATAAAAGTATCCAATTAAGACAAGTAAGAAATACAAAATTTCATGTGGCATAAGATCCTGATGCTACAATAGACACACGTGATGAAAAACATACGAAGGAACAAAGGTACACAAAATGCATACATTAAGCTTAAACACAATATAAGTGACATGACACTAAGTAAAAATCCATACCTGTAGTGTACCAGGCTTCTGCCGGGAGTCTCCCAGCTCTTCACGTGTCCCGTTGGTATAGGATCCCTGGGGAGCGGGCATCCCTGTTTCCATCCTGTCCCCTCCCCTCCTCTCAGGCACACTTGGACTGGTCCGAACCCCTGCAGCTGTAGTCTGTCCCGGCTGATCAAAGCTGGCTGGACGCTGTGACACCGGCTTTGATGGCGACACTTGGCCATCTCGGCCGTACCCTCTGTCGCTGAAGCTCCCGCGATTAAACTCGCCACTCGACTGCCGGTCGGATACGTTACTCTGGGAGTAGCTACGCCTCACTCCCCCAGGGTGTGGACCGTTCTGAGGGCTTGGATAAGACTGCCGCCTGGTGGAACTCTCCGGTACTGCAGCCTGGGTGTGGGGACTCCTCTCCCGCCCTCCCGCCATGCTGCCTTTGAACTGGCTGTACTTGTTGGAGAACGAGGAGAACGACCCGGGCTCGTACCCGGCCATGTCCAGCCTTCCCGAGCTGTTGCTGCGCTTCACTGTCGGCCTGTCGCCGTCCAGGGGGGGTGGGGAGTCTGCCCCACCGCTCAGGCGCCTGCCCCGGGGGTCTCGGTCCACCACGGCGGGCGAAGAACTCTTGCCATAGCGGTTCTCGAGGGTTCGTATGGCGGGCTGCGGGGAGCGCACGTCTTTCTGGGACCCACTGTCGGAGGAGCTGTAGTTCCTGGGGAAGTGCATGCGAACGCTAATTACTTGCAGTGCCAAAGTAAGCAATATAAAAAGGACTTAACTATGCATTAAGGATACTAACTACTGGATGACATGTGTAACGGACAGTCGTAAGTTCAATTCTATGAACTTATGATCATCGTAGGACCGGCTGTTCGTCCCATTGCAATGCTTTTAGAAATAACGTGAGTTGAGCTCAAGTCACTCATAGGTGCAGACCTATGTTTCTGTGTCTTCTTCCTCATCCATTAACAACAGGTCTGTCTTTTTTTGAAACAAGGAATTGGAGATATAATTAAAACCTTTGAGAGGTATCTAAAGCTTTTGTATTTGAGAACTTTTGAGAGCTGTTTTACCTTTGAGACTGTCCCTGTGTCGCATAAAGCGAAACCTTCTGTGGCTCTCGTGAGGGGCGTGACTCCTGAAACAGTCAGTACACAAACATATCTATTAAAGGTATCAAATAAAGAGCACAAATAAAGAATTCAATAATAGTTTTGAGCTTTAAAGTAATAAAATGTAGAGAACGAATTCTAAGAACTGAAGAACATCTGCCCTACAATCTTACGGTATGTTATCAATTACGAATTTGAGGCGTACATTATTGTACATCAAGCTTTACGGGTACAGAAAATTCTACAAAAGCAGTACAACGATTGGCCAAAAAGGCATCTGTTCTTCACAAAGAGCCCAACATACCCCACTCTGAGGTTTGCGATTGGATGGTCTGACAGTCAACTTGAACCTGCCGCATGGCTTCTGGTCAAATTCCCTCATCACAGCATCCGCATCTCTCACTGAAGCCATATCTACAAAACTGGAGAAGCAGAGATGGGTCAATATAACAAGACTCTGAAAACTTTTTTAAAAAGGGAAGATTTTGGGGTTTTGTGGCCTTCAAGTTCACGCGCATCTGTTTTCCTGTATTCTGCCTGTCAATCTTCCCTTGCCCACATCAACCAATCAACTATCTCTGTCTGGACAAACAGATAAACAACTCAACATCTCAGCCACCCAAAACTATACTGAAATGTAACTAAAAGAAAATATGGAGAAGTTCTACATACAGAAGTTAGCATACAATCCCAACTACTCCACAACTACTCCACCCGACACAGTATGAACCAGTCCCTGCGACTTCCTAAAGCTAGGTTGGAATGTGGCAAGAAAACCTTTGCTTATCGAGGTGCAGTGGGCTGGAATAAACTCCCACCCGGTGTTAGAACTGCACCGTGGATACAGACGTTCAGAACACTGTATGCTCAAAGTGACCTCTGACTTCCCTCCCTTATTATGACCTGGCATGACCCCGATTACGAGTAATGGATCACGATTATGATTTGTTTTTGGTGTAAATATTGTTGTATTTCCGTGTATATATGTGTCGTACCCAGGGCCACTCTGAAAGCAGTGCTATGACACTGAGTAGTGCCACCCTGGTAAAAGAATACAGAAATAAATAAAATAAATACATAAACTTACTTGCCCTTGGCAGAAGAAACAAACATCAACTCATAAACTGACTTCAAAATATGTGTGACATGAAGGAAAGAAGACAAGGAAGAACAGCACTGGTCACTCGTGTATATAAAAGGGAGAAAGGTTTTAATAGAAACTTACCAATATGTAGAACCATTTTCATAGCTTTTAGAACTCATTATCCTGACAGATACTGGTGTAGCTACTTGGCCAAAAAAGTGCTTCACTCCATCCTAATGTGAGAAATAAACAACATAAATACATACAAGACAATTAGTACTGAGTTTTGTTATCTTCTTTATCTTACTTCTCAAAGGCAAATGTTTATAGGTTGGTACTGTAATTCCTGATTTTTTCATGGTACTCTTATGTTCACTGTTTTCACTGTCACTTCTGTACCGTAACTTATTATTACAATTCACAAATAATTCCTGGACTTTCTTCTTCCTGCACCTGTCACCACCGTGTATATATAGTTCCGTGAACATGTCCATTTTTCTAACACCGTGAAATTTTGCTACCGTGAACATGAAGTAAACTACAGTATTCAGTCTAGTTTAGCTCCAATAGTAGTAGTAATAGAAGTACTGGTAGGTTTATTTCCAAATGGGGTTAAACAAAGACACTAACCGCTTCCATCTCCAGTGGGATACCAGATACATAGAGGGAGATGTTCTCAGACTGCGATCTATCACTGTCCCCGCTGAAAAAGGAACATAAAGTGTTCATTAACCACAGCTATACCCAAAAAAATCTTTCCACAAACTATAGTATACACAGGATTGACAGGAACTTAGCAACTGGAGCAACTGCATTAGTGGATAAACACCCCAGAGCCACCCCGTTGAGTATGGTAACCAGTATTATTAGTATCAACCACTACTTTCATGTGCTGTAGCCGTAGCTTCAATTTCTGTTTCTCTGTTAAAACTTTAATTCAAACGGTGGCACCAGATGCCGTACCCATTCCTTGAGGCAGGAGACAGTCCGTTGGGGAAGTTGGCCCCCGGGCCGCGGTCGTAGCTGTTGAAGGTGGGAGAAGTGAAGTCCTCCTCCATGGGGTTCCAGCTCCCTAAGGAGTCCAGGTCTTTTCCCTGACTGGAGGATAAAAACATCAATGATTGTCTCTCGTTACATGATAATTCCATCAACTTGATCAAGTCACGTGACAAGAGAACTCCAAGACGAGATCTTTACCAGGTTGAAGAAGACTGAAGAGACAGAGTGCATCTCAAAAGGTCCCCAGAGTAGCTAACTTTTCGTTATGTGTCTCGTTATAAATATTCGTAAAAAAAAAAAACGCCATTGCATCAACCAGACAAATGAACATTGCTGTGTATGACTGCACAGTTTTGATAAGAAGTTCAAGACAAATGGTTTTACATTGCCAGGTTTTGAAATACATATGTAGTATTTGGGAATAGGTTCAAGGGCTGGGGTGTAAACCCATACTAGCTGTAGGTAAGATGTGATAAAGGACAATCACAGTATAACTTATATCTTGTTGAAGTCCCTTGATGCGATGATGAGCCTATGCATCAGAAAGATCCTGACAAGTCAGGATAACACTGAAATTATGGCCACTTGTTTGTGTTACAGTTACACTGTCTTCAATCACCATCAAGAATCAAGAGTACAGTGGTGTAGATTATAAGTTACAACCAACATATTTGCTACTAGATTAGTGATTTCTGTTCAGTCTCAAGAATGTTACTCCTATTCATATGCAAATTTATGCAGACATCTTCTTCAGTCTGATCAGATCTCCAGGGAGTCTGTCTTGTCAGGATAATTTAGAAAGGGCTGAGATCACCGTTATAATTTGTCCCGTTATTTGTACAGATGCGAGATTTCTATATCTCTTAGACACGGTGTTCACCATAAATATCACAGACTCAAGCCCTGGCAGACGTTTTGGCAGACGATAATTTCCTGAGAAAATGGCGGACGCCACAGATGGTGGAGTTTTCACACTGTTTCCCACGCGGCTTCAATTTTCAAAAACACATGTTTTTCGTTGTTGTCACCACGCCAAAGCCTTCTTTTTCGAGGTTCTAAAGAAACAACAGTGACTTAGACTCCTGTCGACTCTATCAAATACGCAAACTTACCTCATGTTTCCTCTGCAAGCGTGGACAGACTGACAGTCGGTGAGTTCGTGCACGAAAACTTGGCGCGTCCTTCTCTCCCCTTCGGGAATGTGACCAACTCGGGAAAAGTCGCAAACTTTCGTGGCTTCCCGCGAATTCCGGAACCATCCACTGACCCAGAAGGGAGGTAAGGAGTTTTAAATCGATAAAATGTAATAAATATTTTTGTTTTATCGTGTTTAGGCTCAACTGATACATTTTGAAAGGGTTGTATGTATATCATTACGTTATATTTTCAACGTATGATATTTGCTTTTATTCACGAGTTGCAAATGTGTAACGAAAATAATTAAAAAACACCCCCATTTCTTGGAAAGAAACTTCAAACACTTAGATGAAAGGGGTTCCGTTGTGCAAAAGTATGCATGAGAAACAATCCATTTATCACTTTCGTTCATCCTAATGAATATTTCATTCCTTCGATGTTGTGCTGAAAATAATTAGCATTTGAATAAATAACATGCCATGTTTTCGCGGGAAAATGACGTAGCGAGCCGAAGCCTGGAGTTCAAAGGTTGAAATGATGTAAGGGTTCCTGATTGGTCTGTCGACATCACGTGATAGAAAACTAATTTCCGCCATCTTGACAAGTCACCTGGTGCTCTCAGCGCTGTTTTGTGGAACAAAGGTAAGAATTTAAAGGAAATAATCAATATTACTGGAGGTTTAACATATTTTGAAGACGGGCGCTAATAGAAGACAGTAAAATGAACGACTCAGTGAAGTTTCAGATGATATAGTTGTCGTTTTTGCGCGATTTTTGGCATAAAAAATCATCTGACTACGTGGTAGTTTTTCTCCCAGCTTCCGGGATTCGACTTGTCAAGTTGCCACCTTGACCGGCCTGGCTCGAATTTCAAGCCTTTCATGGACAATTTCGCACGCTGAAGCTGTGTTTGTCTGTTCAGTGGTTGTTTTGTCAGTGTAGTGCTATGCATAATTCTGTCTGAGGCAAATTGGGTCAACGTATATCCAGAGAACAGGAAAGGGACCAAAGCAGATAACCTGGTTCCGACTGAATAATTTTGTGGAAAACAGAAGGACCAAAGAAAACACACACGTCATATGATAGTGTTGATACTAATAGTTGACATGTCTACTGATTATACATCATCTGTACCATAATGTGTGTTACCTAAATTTTGATATATGAACAATAGCTACCAAGACACCATATGTCGTTTTATACAAACTATTATAAACAGGGGGGTTGGGTTCTTCTAATCTAAGTTTTAGAAAGCAAAAGCAACCCAAATATCTTATACTTTTTATAGCAGTTTCAAATGAAAATAATCTCTTAAGATACTCAGCCTTATTTAATTCTCAGACATATTCACCGGTCCTTCGTATTGGAGTGATCACTGTTTTTTGTTTATATCAATTATTGGCAGACATACAACAGCATACACAAATTTTTGAAAGACACATGCAATTTACTTAGTATTGGTAGGTAACAGCTAACCCAACTACCAAATTCTTTGTACCTGCCACTCGCTGACTATGACGTCATGGCGATCACTTGTATTTACCCATACTAATATTAGAACAGGGCTTCTGTCAACTCATCAAACAAAGAAGCATGACTGATTTATGTATAGAAATATATCATATCCTGTTCCTTGTATAATCAACTTCCCATTTGTCATCAGCATTCAGCTTTGGCCGTCAATAATTTCAGGTTATGACAATGTTTGTCTGTTATTTTTTTCCTTATTTTCCTAGCAGATGGATAATCCAAAACATGCCTGAGTGAACTTTGACCCATCTCCAGGTAGAGGCCCCGCCCGGCGATGGAGGCAGACGACCCAGAAGGGGCAAAGGTCACAGGTGGGGGGGAGGGCATGGATGTCACCGCTGAGGTCAAGGATTCAACACTTCCTGAACAGGAACAACATGATGATACGGAGAAAGATGCTGCTGGTCCCGGAGACAGAGAGGAAGAGGCAGCCACAGAAAGCTCAGATGAAACAAGCCAAGAAAATTCTCAACCTGCCATCGAAGAGGCTGAAACAACAGAGGATGCTGGTAGGAACTTGGAGGAAAGTCCAAACGGTGATTCTGTTAAAGAAAATGAAAATTCAGAAGGATCAACAACAGCACAAAGACAAGATGGCGATAGCTTAGAAGATTCAGAAGGCGGGGAAGACACGATTCAGTCAGAAAGCAGCGAAACTGAAAGCAAAGATGAACTTCAGAACACAGAAGACAACATGTCGACAAACAAGCAGGCAGACGCAACCAGTGAAGACGTGACGCAAGTTCCTGCGAGCAATAGAGCTACATCTGAGGTTCAAGATGAAGAGGAGCCTGAGGCTTTCCAAAGCACAGTTACTTCAGGCACTGTAGCAGCAACAGTAGGAGTTGAAGACACAGTCCAGGGAAATCCCACAGAGTACAGTGAACTAACAGAAGCAGACCAAGACAACGCCGACGGGATAGGTGCGTCAGAAGGCTTTGGAAATGTTGTGGACGTGGAAGAAGCGTTGGACAGCCCCCTCACATCAACGTCCCTTGCGGATTCGGACCAAGAACTTGACCTTGCCGAGTCGCTTTCCAATCGTACTGAAGGAACCGTGGATGACAGAAATAGCTTACAACAGGATGACGATTTAGTAGAAGGGGACAAAATGGCCGTGAAACATACAGAGGACCAGCGATATGTTGGAAACAAGTCGTCTGTTCCAAATGACGAACAGCCCATGGAGGAAATATCGCTTGACGATGTGCAAGAGGAGGAAAGAAAGACAGAGGAGCCGACACAGCCAATGAGTCCGCTGGAGGGCTGTGAGAGAACTATCCTCAGAACAGAGGTGGAACCGGAACACACCGGTTCCAGCGTCTACAGCGTGTCCGAAGGGGAGGACGCCCTTCTGTCCGAACTGGACGCAGCCCTGCAGCCAGCGACCGGACCGATGGGAGATCCCGAAAAACGGAACAGTGAGAAAACGGCAGCGGAACTGCCCAACGGCCTGAGGAACGACCTCTCTCTGACCGATGCTCCAGAGTACGCAGAACTGAAGGTCAAGTTTGAGACTCTGATGCAGTCTCATACAGACCAGGCTGTACAACTGCAAAGGTGAGAGCACTGTTTTGGATGCTGTACAGGTATTGCACATCAGTCGGCAGAACGTATTGCACCTGCGCAAAACTCGTATTGTGCATGGCACTTCGGCAGAATGTCTCATATAATGTCATATTCATGCATATAAGGTAAAGATCCCGTCTGTAGTTTCCAAATGTTATGTCCAAAAAATATTGTCTGCAACATGCAAAATTCTGATGCAACAGTGACCAAAAACCCAAAGAAAACCGTGAAAGATGTGGGTTTTGAGCAGGTGCAGTATGTTATGCTAACATGCTCACATGTGCACAGTGCAGATTTTGACTTCAGCTAGAATATTAATATTTTGAAGCACATAGTTTTTCTTTGTTTGCATCTCCACTGGTTCCCAAGTAATTAACGGGACCATTGTTGCCTTCCCAGTTGTACAGACACACTACATCCTGACTTCTACATTTTTCTGAACAAGTAACCAATTTGTAACAATAACAGAAATACTATCATCCCTCAGCTTGGCGTAACAACCACCCAAAGTAATGATATGCAGTGACGTCAAAGATCATAACCTGAACATGTATTCATAATGTTAAAGTTTAATTTGCTACAATTGAACACTTTCTTTAGGACTCTTTCCTAACAATACATGTAACTGCATAAATAATAAATTGCATACATTTATTCAGTTAATAATCTATTGAAATGTTTTCCCACAATGAAACAATTTCCACAATCGAAAGCTTTTAAGGAGATTACAGCATTGGGTGAAATATGATACATTAAAAGCGTATGGAGCGTGGTGAGAGGGAACGAAAGTTGTTTTATTCACTCTGACTCTGACCCAATCAATACACTAGCAGGACTTGAAATTTTTCTGCACCAGTGCAGGTTACATTAAAAGTTACCTGTGCCAGACAAGTTTTACTTGCACCACTTAGAGATCACACGTACGGATCACACTAAAAACTGTAAAGAAACCATTGGCATTATTCATTTCCACGCTTCATAGGTGGTAACACTCAATGCAGTAAATATAAATCAACATACATCAACATGTACAGTGTATACATAAAGTTTGAAAACCTAGTACATTGACCAGTGCATGACCAGACCAGACAGTTTTCAAAAATGAATGCACACAATTTTACCTGCAAATGTACATGCATATCCAGGTGGTATTTCAGGCCCTCCTAGTAATCAATACACATAGCTCCAGGCCTCATGTGTACAGTGCAAACATTTGTCAATCTGCAAATCCCATGGGACATGTGTTTATGTGTGAAAGCCATCTGGACTACAAAAGTTTAAGCCTGTGTAATTAAAATGATATAAAAGTTCAATCCTTTTACGTTAGATGTGATGATGTAATTTGTCTTCGATGTTCAACGTTATTTTTAAAAGTAGGGGAGTTCTTTCATCTGCCAAAGAGAATACCGGTAAATTTAATACAATGTATTTATATGAAGCCATATCCTCTTGACATTTGACATATGGGTCAAAACACCAATGAAGTAGACATGATATTGAAACTATTTACTGTATTTGACTGGAATACTTTTGTGGTCTATTTTCTTCTATTATAAGTTTTAAATGCATGTATTTATGTACTAGTAATAATTTTTTTCATTATCCTTTTCCACATTTTCAAGACACCACATTTAACATGGGTACATAATGGATAGGAAAAATTTACTTTCAAGTCTTTTTTGTAGGGTGATACTGATAGATAACATCATATTGATAATTTGTTTCAAAATTGACTATAAAATTTTATCTATCCGTCCAGCCTGTCTGAGGATCTCCAGACCAAGACGGGAAAGCTGGCTGTCTTAAGTGAAGAGAAGGACGTTCTTAAGGCGGAGATGAAGACAGTGGTGCAGGAGAGGGACACCCTTAAGGTGGACCTGAATAGGTTACAGTCTTGTGCAACCAACGAAGTCCACGCTACCAGGATAAGACAGGTACCATAGGATTTGTATAGTATTGGAAGTATTGTTTTGGGTGGCTGAGCTGTGGGTTAATGTGTATCTGTTTGTCTGGAGTCTGTTGACAGCATGTGGGTTGGGAAGATTGACAGGCAGATTGAAAGGATGTTAAAAAGTCAGACTTGAAGGTAATGGTTGGAATTTGAGAGTTCTTCAAAAACTGTAATTAACCTGTTGGATTTAAACAAGGACTTGCTAGTCTCTGAGTCCAATGTTGCTTTCAAAACATTTGCAACAAAAGTTTTTTGAGCACCTTTTACTTGAGATGGTTAAAATGTCACATATCTTGACCAGCTGGAAGCGAGTGTATTGGAGCACCAGAAGGAGGCTGCTGTGCTGAAAGAGAAGCTGGGTTCCCATGATGCAGCAGCCAAGAGGGCCATCACGACTCTACAGAGGGAGATGGGGGCAAAACTAGCCAAGGTGATTTGCTTAGGACATGCCTTATTGTTGTCATGTAATGAACAAGTGTTGTCCAGGGTGTACTACTAACTTGTTGTAATGTATACAAGAATCCAAAATAAACTTGAATATCATTTGAGTAGACACTGTTGTCTTATCTGTGATAGATACATGTACATGTACATGTACATGTACATGTACATGTACATGTATGATCTCAATCTACTAGTATCCATAGTCTAATTATCTGACAGTTATTTTACCACAGATCTGACAACTAGTGTTCTCTATGTCTATTTTGTGTGTACTGCAGATTTTTTTATCAACTGTTTCAAATTCAAACACTGCAAAAACATCCTTTTCCCTCACTCCGTGAAATAAAACCACTGAAAAGGAAAAGCATTTCCATATATTTCCAGTATTGTAAAGTATTAATGTTGTCCATGTTTCTCAGGCCCAGCAGCTGTATGAAGACAGTGTGAGGGAGAAGGAGTCCATGGTCATCAAGTACGCAAAGAGTGAGAGTCAGCTGCTAGACCTGACCAAGGTGAGACATACCAGATTACATGTCGACACTGCAAGGTATACCTGTGCACTTCTTACAACTCTTGTCAGGGTTCAAGATACATTTTTAATTCCACATGTATGCTCCCAAATTTTGAAGCCGTGGGTGCACCAGGGAAACTAGATAGTTGCCTTGTGTCATCATGTATGTAAAGGTAATGTAAGGGTATTCTTGACATGTGTCAGAAAAAAAATTATGAAACTATGTTGACATACTTCTTCAAAATTTTTAAGTTAACTCTAAAGAGGAGGACTAAGGTTTATGAGCAAGTTATGAGCTTGCTCTTTTGTGCAATCTGTTTGGTGTCAAATATCAATGACTTTTTGGCATGAGACTCAAGCAATTAGTCTGGCCATTTATGTATTCAACACAGTGAAGTTTTCACAACATACTCTCCACATACGGCCCCAAAAGCTTGTGGTTTTCCTCCCAAATCCTGAAACAAATCTAGCAGCGCACAATCAGACGGCTTGAAATCACTCGTGCTAAAACCTATCTCCTTGTCTGCGACAGCTAAGCAAACAGCAGTGTTTACTTTTTAAGGTGAAGTGGGCTCAAACACGAGCTAACAGGTAGCCCATTGAGAAGGTATTTGCCTAACTGTTTGGTGTTCGTAGGGGGAATGGATGTGATCTGCCTAACTGTCTGGTGAGTGGTGACTGAGGTTTGCCTAACGGTGTGATGTTTGTTGCAGGTAAATGAGACCCTAGACAGGAGACTGAAGGATGCCATGAGGGAGAGAGAAGGTCTTGTTGCCAGGCTGAAACAGTTCCACGCCGAGAGTCAGAAAGTTAGGCAACAAGCAGACACTAAGGTCAGAATCATGCCAGTCATTTGTTGAAAGTTACAAGTGTTAAGTTATGTTACATGTAGTTGATGTTACTGTTCGTATGTTATGTTATTTGTACCAGCACAAAGAATGTTTCTCTCTTAGAGCTTTCAACCAGTCACTCTGGTTGCCTGGACTATTCTTTGTGTTGGAAGAAAAATTTTCAACTTAAAACGCTGACCAATACATATGTTGTTGTGGTTTTGTTTTAGCCAACATTTCATACAATGTATTTTGAATTAGAGGTCAAATTCAATTTGTAAAGGAACTGTACCATCCCATTTTTTTAGTCTTTTGAGGCTAACCAACAGAAGGAGAGAGAGAGAAATGATTAGAGATTGTTTTTGTGTGTTCTTCATTTATTTAGGAGTCTGAAGTGTCGGCCAGAAACAAGGAAATGGACAAACTGAAGGAGGAGATGAACTCTCACATCATCAAAGTCAGGTGGTCACAGAACAAGCTGAAAACTGAGACTGAAGCTCACAGGGTAGGAACACAATTCTTCACATTCTTATCATACACTCAAAGACACCAAAATTGATGTCTGAGGAGTAAAACTGGATACTCAGAGTCATTTTTTTTCTCATTTTTTTAATGTAGTAAGTTCAACCAATCCTATCCCTTAGCATACTGATATCTGTGAGGAAAAAATGTGGTGTTGCTGATGGAAAATGCAAAACTCATGTAGCTTCAAGTTGTTTTGGGGCTATTTCAAATACTTCAGGTGTGAAATAATAGCAAAAATGTGCTAAGACATGACAGTAAATGTCAATATCAGACAGAATTCCTCAAACATTTTACTGCCATCCTGAAATTGCATTGGATGCCTTTAAAATGAAGCTAGTGCATTCTAGATGGAGTAATAATGATCTTCATATTTTCATCACTCTACCAGGAAACCAAGGCTGAACTTGAGAAGATGCGACTTAAACTGAAAGAAGCCAAGGAGGAGTCTGAACAGATCCGAAGAAACTGTCAGGAAATGATCAAGACCTACCAGGTACTGTCAGCTTGCAACGCAGAGAAAACCTGCTAGAGGGCAGTACTTCACCATGTGTGATATCTAGACCATTTCTAACTTTTTCATGTAACTAACATTTCTATGTACCTGGTGCCTGTAGGATACTGTCTCGTATAACTTACTCTTTAAAAGTCCTAAATACTACAGAGAGTAAAATGTAGCTATTTTAATTGGTCTAACTGTAGCCTTTTCAGTAATTTTGAAAATACATGTTACACTACCTTACAAATGTATGTATTTTCCTACATCTGTTGTTTTACTCATTTGTCCTGTAAAATGATGTTATCTCTAGGACTGCTCTTTCTTCTTTTCTCTCCATTTTTGTCCTGTTTCCATGCTGTTTTGTCTGTTTTTCTTCTGTGTGTGAATTTAGGACCAGGTTGAACAGATAACTGACAACTATGAGACTATGCTTAAGTTGTTCAAGGTTTGGGCCCACTCTGTCCTATCCTTGTAATTCTTTGTCATCCTTTTCTTGACTTTACTTTTCTTGACTTTACTTTTCTTGATCTTTTTTGTCACATTCTGGCAAGTGTTATTGTTACAGTAATTATTCACAAAGCTTGGAATTTACATGTAACTAAGGTTCACTATTTCTGAAATGGATAGCTTGGACTGTGACTTGAAATGTGTGTTACATACTGAGTAAAGAGACTCTTTTTACATAACCAAGTCTTTCATTCAGCCGACGTTTTGATGACCGTCTTGTCACCTTCCTCAAGGAAATTCTGACTGGTTCACATAGCATTGCAGCACAGGTGTCTTACCAACCTGATGAAATCATTCATGGATGTGTTACATACTGTACACAAGTGATCTGGAGTCAGTCTTATTTCCATAACAGTTCATCAGTATTCAAGACCACACACACACATATATACATGGCTACCACTAATGAAACTCATAGTAGTTGAGTACTGCCAGCTCCATTGTCACATTGTGTGTCAAACTGCAATTCAACCCGTCAAAGGACAGAGCCATTGTACATGTATGTGACTGTGAAGTGTTTTTGTTAATTGAATAGCCCCTTCATTCATAATACGTTATTGTATGTTTTGCCCCCTCCAGGAGTCAGAAGAAGTGAAGTCAGTTTCACTGGACAAACAGCTGAAGGAGAAGGAGACACAGCTGATGATGCAACAACACCAGCGCTCAGAGGAGAAAGAGGTCAGGGGTCATGACATCTGAACTATGGCATTGCTATATGATTGCTAGATGAAAACTAGAGAAGAAATTTCAGCAACAAACTTTTTGGACATGTACTTAGCGACTCTAAACAACAGCACTAGTATCAGTAGTAATAAAAGATTGTCCTTTTTATGTTCTACACTTTTAACACATTGCAAGCCTGATTTTTGCTGTTGCGGCATGAACGTAGGGAATGTTTTACTAAGATTCCTTATGTTTTCCTGTAGGTCCTGGAGAACCTTAAGAAGGAGCTGGATGCACTGAAGCATAAGTACAAGGGGCAGCTGTCAGAGAACAACTCACTCAAAACTAAGGTTTGTCTTTTAAGTATAATAATACTTACAATGCATCAGAAAACCTGTCAAAAACTCAATGCTACCAGAGTAGAGAATAGTTTGGCAGACCCTTTTATACTTTAATCGACAAATGTGCCTGAATCTGAAACATGTCTGAAGAATATTTCCTATATACATGTACATGGTGATCAACTTGCTACAACTTGCTACATAATCTAATCCATAACCACAGGGAGTATGCTACAGCATGATTTGTCTTAGTGACAGCTGTCTGGTCCAGGTCATTGACCTCAAACATGTATGTTTGGAGAAGAAGAAGAAACTGAGCAAAAACAAAACCAATGTATTTTCCTTTCTGCAAAGGTGTTTGAAGAAGCCACCTGGTCCAGGTGTTATAAATGAGAAGAGGAAGTTTTCCTTTTTGTGAAGGTTAACTAACATAGATGGTCTTACCACCCCGCCCCAGGTTGCGTGTTATGAGGAGGAGAGGCAGAAGACAGAGGACATGGTGAGACAGTACAAGGACGCCCTGGGCCAGCAGAAGTCAGACAACATCGGCCTGCAGGAGAGGATGCGCCAACTGGAGGAGCTACAGAAACAACTGGACAGGTCAGGACACGTTCATTTTTATCTATTTATGAAGCTTTCTTTCCTCTCAGTAGACAATGGGCTTGGTCCAGGGAGGTCCTGGCATCTTCTTTGGTGACTGAACAAGTCAGACCTTGAGTGGCAGGCTCTGCAAATGAGTGTGGTGGTGTTGTCTACCGCATTCCCTCTTATGTCAGGCAGACAGAATACTTCAGGTGATTGAGCCTGTACACCCCCCCTGTAGACTCTAGTTGGTATCGCCCAAAGTTGAAGGGTCACCCTCCCTGCGCATGCGCACCAGTCTAATTTTTTTGAGCAACCTGTAAACACCTTCGTGTTTTGCGTTGGTATCATGGGGTCTAGGCGTGAAAAGCAACGCGATAGACATCGTTCGAGGGCGCCTTCGGGTCCTAGGGCGACCGAGGAGAGTTCCAAGCGCGAACGTGGCGGTTCCCGGCGGCGTTCCAGCGGCAGGGAGCGCGAGGAAGGCGGGACAAGCCCGGGCGGGTCGGCGCACCATGTGCGTGAAAACGGCCGCCATGACAGTCGTCAGAAGTCGTCTTCTCCGGCTATGCCGGTTCTCAGCGCTGACGGAAGCCAGCAGGAAGGCGACGGCGAACAGAAGCAGCCGCCCACGGTTCAGCAAGACGGCAACTTGCCGTCTGACGGAGACATAAGCAGTGGTGGCGGCGACGGAAGCAAGAAGACGCATGATAGCGAAAACGGAGTTTTACGCCAACTAAACGTCCGCATCTCTGCCTTGGAGCAGAGTTTTGCGTCCATGTCTCAGAGGCTAGAGGCATTCCAGGAGCTGATGTTAGCTCAATTTTGAGCAAATCTTCACCGAGGAAACGACGCAGCGCTCGTCCAGAGACGGCAGTTCCTGAGAAGCGCCGGAAGGAAGATAGCGCTAGCGCCCGCAGTGGCAAGCAGCGCTCCCCGTCTCACGACGGGGCGGAAGGAGAGAGCGTCAGCGGTGACTCCGGCGAGCATCCGGCGGTGGCAGTTCCTGAGAACGCCGGAGGAGATAGCGCTAGCGCCC